GACTCGTGGACCAACTCCCAGAATTCCTGAGCCAGCCATGCTGAGGGGAAAGGGAGAGGTTTCCAAGCTGAGCCAGGCTGGCTCAGGAATTCTGGGAGTTGAAGTCCACCAGTCATGAAGGGGCCATAGTTCCCCATGCTGGCTCAGGAATTCTGGGAGTTGAAGTCCATGAGTCATAAAGCGGGCCTAGGCCTAGGCAGAGATAGGCAACCTTGGCTCTTTTATGACTCCTGGACTTCAACTCCCAGAATTCCTGAGCCAGCATGGCTCAGCTTGGAAACTCTCCCTTTCCCCTCAGCATGGCTGACTCAGGAATTCTGGGAGTTGAAGTCCGCGAGTCATGAAGGGGCCATAGTTCCCCCATGCTGGCTCAGGAATTCTGGGAGTTGAAGTCCATGAATCATAAAAGAGCCCAAGTTGCCTACTCCTGCCCTGGGGGATGCTGCAATGGTCGTAAGTTTGAAAAATGGTCCCAAGTCACTTTTCCCAGCTCTGTTGTAACTCCGAACGGTCACTAAAAGAATCATTGTAAGTGGATTGAAGATGGTAGAGGACAGGAAGGCCTGGAGGAACCTTGTCCATGGGGTCGCGAAGGGTGGGACACGACTTGGCAACTAACAAAGTGGATCACTGCCTGTAATCCATTTTTCTTTCCTGACGTCAGCGTTGTGGCCCCCCCGAATCAGGTGTGCTGGGCTAATTTAGCACCTTAAGAACAAAATAGGCCTTTTTGTCTGCCGGATGCCCGTTGTGGGTTTGTTGTGCAGCAGGAGATTGCCTCCTCCCTTGGACTCGCATTTCCTGGGCGCCTCACAGGTGCGCAGCTTCACCTGGCCGTCCCTGGCCAGCCCTGCCCGCCGGCCACAGCAGCGCCATCCCTGCCTGCAAAGGGACGGGCGTCTGTCTGGGCTCAACTGCTAAATCCTGGCTCACTTCTCGAAGCGCCGGACTCAGCCGTGGGCCTCGAAGAAATTGCGGCTCAGGATTAGCTGTCTGCTGTTGTCTGATGCTGCAAGCAGGGCCGGTGTTGACTTTTGTTGGATGTCCCCCTTAACCACATGCGATGCACAGAGTCGGGCAGAATCGCCCACAGCCAGCGACTTGAGCCGGCGATTTGCTTGGTGCCAGTCTGGGCTGGGAAATTTGCTCTCTCTCCCCCCGGGGCATCAAACGGCTTCTCTCTTCCTCCTTCTCCCCCCCCAGAAAAAGCCCAGCACAAGTGAGGCTCCGAGGCCTCTGGCAAATGCCCGGGGCAGCGCATACCTGGCGCGCTCGGCACATCCGGCGGGCCAGACGGCAGCCGAGCAAGAATGCTCTGCTGGAGGACAGAGGCAAAGCCGGGAAATATCCGGTTTTCATTCCAGGCTGGGGGAGTCGGAGTTGTCCTCTACCTGGAATGAACTTGTTAGCCATGGGGGGTGGGCGCAATGAGCCCCCCTTTGCTTGCCACGCTCCTTTCGCTTGAGAAGATTGGGAGGGCGCCCCCCCCAAGGAGCAGAAAGACGTGAAGTGATTTGGAGTCTGTGGATGGGCCCTTTGACTCTGGCAACTGGGCTTCTGAGGAAGGGGAGTCCTCTGCTGCCCCTCCCCTCCCCTCCTCTCTGTGTAAACCAGTCCCTTCTAGCACTGATGATGTTACCTAGTTGGGTCATGAAACGTCTGCAAGGAAACCACCCAGCTCAGAGAGCACCAAGGACCCCACATTATTCCTCCTCCTCCTCCTCCTCCCTTCTTTGTTCTCCCTTTCTCCCTTCCTCCCTCCCTTCTTCTTCTTCTTCTTCTTCTTCTTCTTCTTCTTCTTCTTCTTCTTCTTCTTCTTCTTCTTCTTCTTCTTCTTCTTCTTCTTCTTCTTCTTCTTCTTCTTCTTCTTCTTCTTCTTCTTCTTCTTCTTCTTCTTCTTCTTCTTCTTCTTTTCTCTCTCTCTCAGATCGTGAGGTCTAGCCCCTTGGAGAGTGAAGTGCCTTGGACAGCCCTGAGAGAGAGAGAGAGAGAGAGAGAGAGAGAGAGAGAGAGTGTTGCTGATGCTGTGGCTGTTTCCTCCCCCTACAGAGGCTGGCATCAGGGGAAGGAAGTGCTGAAGTGTAAAAAGCTAGCAGTGGGAGAACCCGGGATCCAACGCCCAGGGCGGCCTGGGAGGGGGGCCCTGGGGATCCCACGGGGGCACCCCTGCCTCGAAACCCTCCCCGGGGACCGTGCTCTCCGTGTTCCGGAGCTGAAATGGCCAGCCTGGCGATTTAAGCCGGAGTTAAGTCGAAGGAGCCCGCGAGAGGGTCCCCTCCTGCCCCCCACGCATGCCCGTGGGCTCCCCCCTCCGTTTCTGGCAGCGGAGCCCCGTCCCTCTCGGAGCGCCGCGCTTGGGCGGCGCGTTTCTGGGGGATGGCGCGCTGCCTCCAGCTGGGAAGCCGTGGAGCGCAGGGGGGGCTCGCTAGGGGGCGTCAGCCGCCGCTCGGCCGCCGCATTCCTTGCGGGGAAGCCCGGGCGGAGAGGCGGGGAGGGCCGCCGGCCTTGCAAGAGTCGGGTCGCCCCTTCCAGGAGGCTTCGGAGCCCGCCTGCCCGCCGCTCGGCTCCGTCCCGACCCAGCCGGGCGTCTGCCTGAGAACGAGAGGGCGGCCCGTCCCGTCCAACTCAGTCCGGGCTTCGCAGCTGCCGGTCAGCCTCGGCTGGGCCTCCGCCAAAGCGCCTGAGCTGGGCTCCCTCCTCCGGGCGCCCTTTCCTGCCCCCCCCCGCCCCGGAGCTTGGGAAGCCGGGCGACCCTTGGCGGACCTTCCCTCCCCACCTCTGTGCTGAGCGTGGCGGCTGAGGTTCCCCAGGAGCGGAGCGCCGGCCTCGCCCCTCGGAGCCCTGGCCTGCACGCGAGAGGTGGCAGGCGACGGGAAAGCAGCCCTCTGTGCATGGGCAGAGGCTGCCTCCCCTCCCCTCTTTGCAGGTCCGCTCCTGCTGCTATTACACCAGTCTTTCTCAACCTTGACCATTTTAAGGCATGTGGACTTCAACTCCCAGAATTCCACAGCCAGCATTGCTGGCTGTGGAATTCTGGGAGTTGAAGTCCACACGCCTTAAAATGGTCAAGGTTGAGAAACACTGTATTACGCAGAGGCGAAGACCCGAGGGGGGGGGCGCCCGGTCTGCTCCCCCCGGACCTGCCCCTCCTCTCGCTCGCTTGTTCGAAGGCGGCCTGGGCAGCCGTGCCCCCGACCCTGGCTCTGGGGCTCGGCCGTCTTGCGAAGCAGCCCCTGTGAGTGCCGGGGCCATTCCAACCGGGGGGCGGTTATTTAACTCAAGGTAACTCGAAAGGCAGGGCGGCGTCCAGGAAGCTAGCATTTTGCACACAGGTTCCCCCCCCCCCGTCTGTGTAATTCCCACATTTACAGCTTGGAAGGCTCCCCTCGGGAGCCCCTGCTCGCTGGTGGGTGGGTGGGTCGGTCTGCCTTCCCCGCAGGAGCCCAGGGCTCCTTTCCCGAATTCAGACCCCCCCCCCGAGCCCTCCTCCCTTCCTCCACAGGAGCCGGACGCCGGCAAAGTCGGCGCGCCCCGCCTGACCTCCACCTTGGCGCGTGGTCCCCGCTGCTGGAGCCGGAGGGCAGAGGCGGGGGAGGGGAGGGGAGGGGGCTCCGGCCCGGCTCTGCACGTGTGAGCTAATCAAAAGTAAGCACACGCTCTTTTTTTTTTCCCCGCCCGGCCCCTCGGAGGAGGAGGAGGAGAGAGAGGCCGTCAGCCCAGAGGCTCGCCTTGGCAGGCGGCAGCCGCCCCAGCCCGCCCCGCTGCTCGGAGGTGCTACTTAGTTGGACGGGGCGCCCCTCCCTGGGAACGAGGGTCTCTCTCTCCCCCCCCCCCGCCGTTTGCGTTGGCAGAGGCGTGGCGTGAGGTGGCCAAATGTTGGCTGGGCCCTCGCAGGGGATGGAGGCCCAGGCGGTGGGCAAGCTGGTCCTCCCCAGAGACAGCTGGTGGCCCTAAGCAGCCCTCGCCGGCCCTGGTCGATCCAGGGAAGGCATGCAAGGGACAGCGCTGGCCCTAGAGACCAGTTGGCTGCCCTGATCTAGAACCTGTTACCCAAGGGCCTTGCTCCTCCCTGAGCTTGGTGGTTTCCTGATGCTGTTGCCCGGTTGGGTCATGAAATGTCTGCCAAATTCAGAGAGCATCAAGGATTCCACAGTCCGTTTCCTCCTCCTCCAATCCCATTCCCTTGGAGCACTGATGCTGTTACCCAGTTGGGTCATGAAATGTCTGCAAGAAAACAGCCAAGAATTCCACAGAGAGCACAAAGGATTCCACAGTCCGTTTCCTCCTCCTCCTCCTCCTCCTCCTCCTCCTCCTCCTCCTCCTCCAATCCCATTCCCTTGGAGCACTGATGCTGTTACCCAGTTGGGTCATGAAACGTCTGCAAGAAAACAGCCAAATTCACAGACACCAAGGATTCCACAGTCCATTTCCTCCTCCTCCTCCTCCTCCTCCTCCTCCTCCTCCTCCTCCTCCTCCTCCTCCTCCTCCTCCTCCTCCTCCTTCTCCAATCCCATTCCCTTGGATCACTGATGCTGTTACCCAGCTGGGTCATGAAATGTCTGCAAGAAAACAGCCAAGGAAAACAGCCAAATTCAGAGACATCAAGATTCTACAGTCTGTTTCCCCCTCCTTCTCCTCCTCCTCCTCCTCCTCCTCCTCCTCCTCTTCCTCCTCCCCCTCCTTCCCCTCCTCCTCCCCCCCTCTTCTGATACATGTGACCACATAAAGAATGACAGAACAGCCTTCCCATGCAGGAGACCCTCCACCATTCCAGACAAAAGGTTGTCCAATTTCTTCTTAAAAGCCTCCAAAACGTCTGGAGGCAAGTTGTTCCACTGGTTTAATTTTTCTCACCTTGCTTTTCCCCTCTGGGCCTTGATGGGCTGGGGTGATCCTGTAGGAGTTGGGGCCATGCGTGAACCATCAAAGGGCTTCTCCACGATGAGCCGGAAACGTCTTCCTCCTTAAACCCAATCCTCTCTCTCCTGTCTGCATTTCAGGTGTTCTCAAAAATATTCAACCACGAAGCTTTGGAAAGTTACCTGCCCAAAATTCAGCTGGTGATCCAAGACACCCTGAGAGTCTGGGGCAGGAACCCCGAGCCCATCAACGTCTACCACGAAGCCCAGAAGCTCACGTTCCACATGGCCATTCGTGTCCTTCTGGGATTCCAGATCCCGGATGAGGACCTCAGCCAGATGTTTGAAGTCTACCAGCAATTTGTGGAGAATGTCTTCTCCTTACCTGTGGACCTGCCCTTCAGTGGCTACCGTAAGGTAAATCAGGGCTGCATCAGGCAGGGGCAGAAACCTAGATGCTGTGCCTGTGTGGTGGAGCATCTCATGGTGTTGTCAAAAAGAAGGGAGGGCATGGCGAGGTTCTCCCTGCCCTAAGACCTCCACAGGACAGGGGGCACAAGCCTGGTAGAAGGTAGCGTCCTTGAAGCATCTCCTGATGGATCCAAGTTGGAGGAAATTGGGTGGGGTATTTTGGTTCTTGTAGTTTAGATCAGAGGTCCCCAATCGTGGCAACTTGAAGACTTGTGGACTTCAACTCCCAGAATTCCTCAGCCAGCTTGGCTGGCTGAGGAATTCTGGGAGTTGAAGTCCACAAGTCTTCAGGTTGCCAAGTTTGGAGACTTGGTTTAGATGCTTTAGGGCAGGGGTGCCCAATCTTGGTAGCTTGAAGATTTGTGGACTTCAACTCCCAGAATTCTGGGAGACAAAGTCCACAAGTCTTCAAACTGCCAAGCTTGAACACATGTTGGGTGGGGAATTCTGGGAGTTGAAGTCCGCAAGTCTTAAAAGTTGCCAAGATTGGACACACGCATACACGGACACACATTTGAGAAAGTTCAAACATATGACCTGTTTCTAGCTCTTTCCCCACTGAGAGCCCTGCGGAGGTGGCTGGGGATTCTGGGACATCCAGTCTCAACCCAGCTGGAGGGCGGGAGGGGGGGGCAGGAGGAGACAGGGACTGCCTGGGGAATGACATGGTCCTGGATGTCCTTTTCGTAGGGGATTCGTGCGAGGGAGATTTTGCAGAAAGGCTTAGAAAAAGCCATCCGGGAAAAGCTGCAGAATTCCCAAGGGAAGGACTACCTGGACGCCCTGGACCTGCTGATAGAGAGCGGAAAAGAACACGGCAAGGAGCTCACTATGCAGGAGCTGAAGGTAAGAACACCTGACCCAGACAGGTAGCAAGCGCCACTTCTCTCTGTGGCCACCGGGGGTGCTAGACTCCCCTTTTCCGCTCAAGGTTGTGTCTGGCTGCGTCTCTGCAAAGGGGAAGGGAGACGTCAATCAGAACAGAGCTGGAAGGGGCCTTGGAGGTCTTCTAGTCCAGCCCCCTGCTCAAGCAGGAGACCCTATAGAATTTCAGACAGGTGGCTGTCTTAAAAACCTCCAGCAATGGAGCGCCCACAACTTCTGGTGGCAAGCTGTTCCACCGATTAATGGTCCTCACTGTTAGGAAGGTTCTCCTTAATTCCAGCTCGCTTCTCTCCTGGATGAGTTTCCAACCATCGTTTCTTGTCCTGCCTTCTGATGCTCTGGGGCAGCCCCTCAAGCACTGGAACGATGGAGGGCGGGGAAACGAAAGAGCAAGGGCCTTCCAACTTGGCCCTTCGATGACTTGTGGATTTCAACTCCCAGCGTGCCTGGCTGAGGAATTCTGGGAATTGAAGTCCACAAGTCATGAAAGGGCCAAGTTGGAAGACCCCTGATATAGACTTTAAGAGGAGTGGACTTCAACTCCCAGAATTCCTCAGCCAGCGTGCCTGGCTGAGGAATTCTGGCAGTTGAAGTCCACGAGTCATCAAAGGGCCAGGTTGGAAGACCCCTGCAATAGAGGGTGGGGAGGATTGTCGGGGGCAATAATCCCAGCTAAAATGGAACTGTAAACATCTCAGTGTAACCTCTATAGCAGTGTTTCTCAATCTGTGGGTCGGGACCCCATTTGGGGTCGAACGACCATTTCACGGGGGTCGCCAAACAATGCAGTCCGCCATTTTTTCCCCCTTTTCCTTAGCTGTGCTACTCCCTTTTATTCTATTGGCTTTTGAAAGCCAATAGAATAGACTCTCTTGAATAGAGTCTAATTCTATTGGCTTTCAAAAGCCAATAGGAATTGTCCAGGCTGTCTCTGCCCTGCTGAGCCCGCCAAAAGTCCCATTCTGCAAACGGTGCTGCACCAGTTGAGTAGTCCTCAACTTACGACCGGTTGAGTAGTCCTCGACTTACGACCGGTTGGGGGGTCGCAGCATTAAAAAGGTTGAGAACCACTGCTCTATAGGATCACTGAGGGAAGCTCAGACCAGCTTAGCTTCAGTTGCCAGGCCCACTTAGGTTACAAGAAAGATGGCCGGGGGGCATCTCGTGAACTTTGCCCTTTGGAAGCTCAGCTGGTCAGCCCCTGCTCACGCAGCCTTTCTTTGCCCTTAGGATGGCACCCTGGAGCTGATCTTCGCCGCCTATGCCACCACAGCCAGCGCCAGCACCTCTCTGATCATGCAGCTGCTGAAGCATCCAGTGGTGCTGGAGAAGCTTCGCGAAGAGCTGAGGAACACGGGCCTCCTGCACAATGGCTGCCTCTGCGAGGGGGCGCTTCAGCTGGAGACCGTCCACAGCCTCCACTACCTGGACTGTGTCATCAAGGAGGTGCTCCGGCTTTTCACCCCCATTTCGGGGGGATACCGGACGGTGCTGCAGACCTTTGAGCTGGATGTGAGTAAGGGGAACTTGCCAAATAAGACTCAACGGACTTCAAGGGGGGCATTCACTTATAGGGGCGCGGAGACTCCAGACTGATGGTGTGTTTGACCCCCACACTCAGCCTGGTCATCTCCTACAGCAGGGGTCTCCAAACACGTTTAAGACTTGTGGACTTCAACTCCCAGAATTCTGGGAGTTGAAGTCCACAAGTCTTAAAGTTACCATGGTTAGAGACCCCTCCTCTATATAACAATGAAGATGATGGACTGAACGGAAGCGGAGATGAATGGCTTGAAAATGATCTTTTAAACACCCTGTAAACATACAGGACACCGATGTTCTTGCGAGTTCCCTTTGTCGTGGGAGGAGCCCTTTTTATTTTGGGCCCAAGGGCGGCTGTCTCTGCTCTTGGAGACCCTCCCCAAAGGCAAACCGTGGAGGTGGGCTTAGGAGGGCCTCTTTGGAAAGGCTGAGTTCTCGGAGGCATCGCATCTGGAGGCTGCAGGTGCACCGTTGTGGAAGCCAACACTCCAGATTTGGATAAGAGAAAGGAGGGTGAGAGCCAGATGTTGGGATGACATCTGGATGACTCACGATGGAATTTCCAAGGAGCAGAACCAATTTCACGGCTTGGCTGTTCCAGTCTGCAGAGCTCCTCCAGGATCGAGGGCTGGGCTGGTTCCCTTCTGAACGGGGCCAGCAGATGGGAGATAGAGAGAGGTGGATGTCTTCTTCTTGACAAGGCCTCGTACATATACAGTGAGCAAAACCACTCCCTTCTGGCACCGATGATGTTATCTAGTTGGGTCATGAAACGTCTGCAAGAAGACAACTAAGTTCAGGGAGGACCAAGGACCCCACAGTCCTCCTCCTCCTCCTCCTCCTCCTCCTCCTCCTCCTCCTCCTCCTCCGCCTCCTCCTCCTCTTCTTCTTCTTCTTCTTCTTCTTCTTCTTCTTCTTCTTCTTCTTCTTCTTCTTCTTCTTCTTCTTCTTCTTCTTCTTCTTCTTCTTCTTCTTCTTCTTCTTCTCCTTCTGCTTCTCCTCCTCCTCCTCCTCCTTCTTCTCCTTCTTCTCCTGCTTCTCCTGCTTCTCCTCCTCCTTCTTCTTCTCCTTCTCCTCCTCCTCCTCATCCTCCTCCACCTCCTCCTCCTCCTCCTTCTTCTTCTCGTTCTGCTTCTCCTTCTCCTCCTCCTCCTCCTCCTCCTCCTCCTCCTCCTCCTCCTCCTCCTCCTCCTCCCTTCTAGCACTGATGATGTTACCTAGTTGGGTCATGAAACATCTGAAAGAAAACCAAGCTCAGAGAGCACCAAGGACCCCTCAATCCCCCTCCTCCTCCTCCTTGTCCTCCTCCTCTGCTTCCTCCTCTCCCTTGATGATGTTACCTAGATGGATCATGAAACGTCTGATGGTATGTGCGCGTGGGATATCTCAAATTTTCTAGGACTTGAGTTCACCCCAAAGAGACTTGCAGTAGAATAGCTCTTGAACACCGTGGGGGGCTCTTTGTCTCTCTGTGTCCCTCTGATGATCTGTCTCCTTGGTCTCCAGGGCTTCCAAATCCCCAAAGGATGGAGCATCATGTACAGCATCCGAGACACGCACGACACGGCTCCCGTCTTCAAAGATGTGGACGCGTTTGACCCCGACCGCTTTGGGCGGGACCGCAGCGAAGACAAAGACGGCCGGTTCCACTACCTGCCCTTCGGCGGAGGGGTACGGACCTGTCTCGGCAAACACCTGGCCAAGCTCTTCCTCAAGGTGCTCGCCATTGAGTTGGCCAGCACGAGCCGTTTTGAACTGGCCACCAGGACTTTCCCCCAGGTGACTCTGGTGCCCGTGGTCCACCCGGTCGACGGACTGAAGGTCAAATTTTTTGGACTCGACTCAAATCAGAACGAAATCTTGACAGAGAGAGAGGCCATGCTGGGGGCCACCGTGTAGGCCAAAGGCTTCTCTTGGCTGGCCAGGTTGAAGAGACCCGAACGGCGGGTGGAGAGGGAACAGCTCAACCCACCCCGGATGACGGAGAAGGGCCAACCTTGGTGGACACATCCGGCAAAGCCTTCTCTAGGGAATATGCCAAAAACTGCAGGGGTGTTTTACTGGTGTGTGTGTGTGTGTGTGTGTGTGTGTGTGTGTGTGTGTGTGTGTGTGTGCAGCCCGTTTCTCCCAGATGGCTTCTGTATGGTTTTGTTTGGATACCCGCGAGAAGTGAATTGTGTTGACCGTACTCGGCGTATGGATGTGTGTATGTACACTTACTTTCCAGAGTGAATCCGGCAATGTCATCCCACACAAGTCAGGAACTCTTTCTGTCTTTGCTGTCCCAAATGGCCAACGGAGGGGGCTTGGGGTGGGAGGACCCCCCCTCCCTGCAGCCAGGACAGGGATAACAACCGCAGCAGGAAGAGGGCCCACATTTTTGGCAGGGCCAAAGAGGCAGCCAGGGGTCACCGGGCAAAGCTTTGAGATGGGCCCTGGAGTCTGCCCAGCCGGCGTAGTTTCTCGTCCTTCTGAAGCTGCCCAAAAGTTGGAAAAAGGAAGGCTGGAGAATTAGGCTGAGGGTCCTGAGCTTCCCAGCCTGAGAAAGCTCTTGGGGGGGGGTCTTCTCAGTGGCCCCCAGTTCCAGAGCCAGCCCCATCTTCCGGAGGAGACCATGCCTGGACCATGATCCGAGAAGGTCATTTGAGGCCGTCAGTTGCTGCTTTCTTGCTTTCCTTGTGTCCCTGCAAGCCCCCCTCCCTCCCTCCCCCCCCAGTGCCCTCTGAGCCAGGCCTCGGGTTTCCTTGCCAGAGAGAACTGAGAGCATCTTGGGGTCTTCTCCATCTGAAGGCCGGAAGCTGTTCCTTTGCCACAGGTGGCTCCAGAAGATACGTGACGAGGGCATTTTATGTCTAGCCAGCTCTGTCTCGGAGTAAGTCCTTGGCAGTCTCTGAGCTGGGTTGCTTTCTTGCAGACGTTTCACTACCAAACTAGGTAACAGCATCAGTGCTGGAAGGGAGCACTCATGAGCAAACCCCACCCTTTAATAGGACTGATGCTGTTTCCTAGTTTGGGTCATGAAACGTCTGCAAGAAAACAGCCAAGTTCAGAGAGCACCAAGTACCCCATAGTTCTCGTCGTCCTCCTCCTCCTCCTCCTCTCTGCAAACTTCACTCCCTTCTAGCACTGATGATGTTCCCTAGTTGGGTCATGAAACGTCTGCAAGAAAGCAACCAAGCTCAGAGAGCACCAGGGACCCCCACAGTCCTCCTCCCCCTCCCCCCCAAATCCCACTGCTTTCTAACACTGATGATGTTACCTAGTCAGCTCATGAAACTTCTGCAAGAAAACAACCGAGGATTCCTCATTTCAACCCTGAGCTACAAATATTTATCAGTATCTCTATCCATATACATGCGTGCATTTTATTTAGTCCAGGATAATTCCTGTTTGATTGACTGCTCCTAACTAATATAACTTGACTAAAAAAAAATCGAAATATTAAAATGTTACTGCAGTGGATTTGCAGAATGAAGCACTTTCGAGACTCAGAATATGTGTTTTTGTCTTGTGTTTCTTTTGATTTCTTGGCGATATTATTTTATACAACAAAAGTGGTGGGCTTGTTTTGTCTGAGTTTATAAACTATAAGTATTATTTTTGTTATTAAGTCAGAATCGATATTTCGTATAATAATGTGGCTGTCTTAAATGTGTATTATTTAGTAAAATATGAATGATTCCACTGCTTTGCTTTTTATTTTTTATTTTTTTTAATGGCAACCTTCTCCATCACAAAAATTAAGGTGGTTAGCGTGGAGTCACCTGGGAAGCGCTTTTGTTGCAATTCCCTACAGCACGAAACCTTGTGCAGGATTGGCGCCGGGCCGCTTCCCATCACCTGTGTTGTTCTTGATATTGAAATAAATAAGCACCTGTCGTGTGAGGATATATTTTGGTGCTGCGTGCAAATGTGTCTGTCTTGTGTCCTGTGGCTTTTGACGTGTCTGTAATATGGGGGTCAGCCCACCCCGACTGACCCTAACCCTTTCCGGCCTCTCCCTTGACGTGGAAAAGTCTCTGTCCAGGTGTCATCTGTGGGGTTCTCACGTGGCCCAGGATACCTTCCTGGCTGGATCTGCTCCTGTGACCGGGGGGGGGGGGGGAGTGGTATGTGTTGTGTGATCTTTTTTTTAAAAAAAAATAATCCGTGTGGCTATTTTATAGATTTCCACCACCACCACCACCATCATCATCTTAATAATAATAAAAAATGAATTTAACCCCTTTGTGTCCTTGGTTCTTGGATCTGTACTGCCGCTATGTTGAGGGACCCTTGGACTGCAAGGATATCCCATCTGCCCATCCTAAAGGAAGTCCACCCTGACTGACCTTTGGAAGGGCAGATGCTGAAGGTGAAGCTCCATTGCTTCGGCCGCCAAATGGGAAGAGGACTCCTTGGAAAAGACCCCTGGAGTTGGGAAAGGAGAAAGGCCAAAGGGGAGGGGGATGGCGCAGGAGGAGGAGAGGGCCATTGACGCACCAAACGTGAATTTGGGCAAACTCCGGGAGAGAATGGAGGACGGGGGCTGTCGTGTTGTGGTCCATAGGGGTTGGACAACAGCAAGAACTGCTGCCAAATCCTATGGGTGGGAACTTTGCCTTCCGATGGGGTTGGGTGGGTGATTGGGTGGGAGGGCTACAGAGGGAGATCCAAACCTGAATGTAAAGAGGAGGGTCTGGATGGCCTGGGCAGGGGTTGGACTAGAGGACCTCTAGAGACCCTTCCGGCCCAGTGGTTCTATGTTGCTCACAGATCTCTAAAATGCATCAGTTGCTGCCTTCCACAGCAAGACTAAAGCAGTTTGTTTTTGACCTGCTGTATAACTTTAAAAAGATGTTTAGGGGACTGGAGGGTAAAAACATAGGAAGGAGGGTTGCAGGAATCCGGCAGGCCTAGTTTAATGAAAAGGAGGAACGGGGGGGGGGGGGTGACGGAATCACAGTCTCCCAATATCTCAGGGGCTGCCATTCCCTCCAGATGCTGTGGGCACTCCATCCCTGGAGGTTTTTAAAAAGAGACTGAACAACCATTTGTCCGGACAGGGTCTCCTGCTTCAGCAGGGGGCTGGACTAGAAGACCTCCAAGGTCCCTTCCAACTGGCTCAGGAATTCTGGGAGTTGAAGTCCACGAGTCAGAAAGTGGCCTAGGCCTAGGCCAGGGATAGACAACCTTGGCTCTTTTATGACTCGTGGACTTCAACTCCCAGAATTCCTGAGCCAGCCTGGCTCAGCTTGGAAACCTCTCCCTTTTCCCTCAATGTGGCTGGCTGAGGAATTCTGGGAGTTGAAGTCCACAAGTCATGAGGGGGCCAATGTTTCCCCCATGCTGGCTCAGGAATTCTGGGAGTTGAAGTCCACGAGTCATAAAAGAGCCAAGGTTGCCTACCCCTGCACTAGGCGCTGCTGCTCTGGTGCTCGGGGGCCCTTTCGTGGGACCCGGTCACTCCGCAGCCCCCAACTCTGGCCCTCCCTGCCTCTCCCACCCCCGCCCCATTGTAGTGCGAGGACCCTCTGAGCGTGCCCTTCGCCTGGCTTTCCCAGGGCCTGGGGTGGGGGACAAGAGAAGCCCCCTGCCCGCAGGCGTCCCCTCGGAGAGCTGCTGAGAAGGGCAGACGCGCGCTGGACAGTGCTGAGAGCCTGGGACCTCACTGGGTCACGCCGGGGAGACTCGCACCTGCCGCCGCTTCCCCGCAGCTCCTGCCCGGCAGCCGCAGAGCGTCCCAGAGGAGCGCTGGTACTCCGGGCCCGCTTTGCTTGCGCGTCTCTGCCCTGCACCAGGCGACCCAGAGGATCGCCCTTCCCTTCTTCCTTCCCTTCCCTTCCCTTCCCCCTTCCTCTCCTCTCCTCTCTTCTCCTCTCACCTCCTCCTTCCCTTTCCTTTCCTTCACTAGATTCCCTTTCCTTTCCTTTCCTTTCCTTTCCTTTCCTTCCCTTTCCTTCACTAGATTCCCTTTCCTTTTCTTTCCTCCTTTCCTTTCCTTTCCTTTCCTTCACTAGATTCCCTTTCCTTTCCTTTCCTTTCCTTTCCTTTCCTTTCCTTTCCTTTCCTTCACTAGATTCCCTTTCCTTTCCTTCACTAGATTCCCTTTCCTTTCCTCCTTTCCTTTCCTTTCCTTTCCTTTCCTTTCCTTTCCTTTCCTTCACTAGATTCCCTTTCCTTTTCTTTCCTTTTCTTTCCTCCTTTCCTTTCCTTTCCTTTCCTTTCCTTTCCTTTCCTTTCCTTTCCTTCACTAGATTCCCTTTCCTTTCCTTTCCTTTCCTTTCCTGAGAAAGAAGGAAGGAAGGAAGATGAGAAGGAAGGAAGGAAGGAAGGAAGGAAGGAAGGAAGGAAGGAAGGAAGGAAGGTCCTCCAACTCGGCCAAGTTTAAGACTTGTGGACTTCAACTCCCAGAATCCCCCAGCCTGCATGAAGTCCACACGTCTTAAAGCAGGAGTCCTCAAACTTGGCCACTTGAAGACTTGTGGGCTGGCTTGGGAATTCTGGGAGTTGAAATCCACAAGTCTTCAAGTGGCCAAGTTGGAGGACCCCTGTCTTAAAGTCACGAAGGATGAGACAGGCCGGTCTACACTCCTGTTGATGGAAATTGCTGCTTTTCATTTTCACCACTTTGGATTTGCAGGACAAGCGGATGAAATATATATTTTAAAACTGGGATAAAGTTTGGTTGGATTGAACAAAGTTCATTCAATATCTGCCACGATGTATTAATGGCCTAGATCTGCATTAAATCAGTTGGTCCCAAACAGCTTTTCTGGAAATGCTTTATGACCACCCTCGGAATGCCTCAACAATGCCAGCATTATAGATGAGCAGGGCGTAGGATCATGATTTACGCGGGCACCGGCATGGTGTAGGAGGCTGGCGGGGTGCTCCCCAGGCCCCGGAGCTCTGGATGGAGGCCCTGCTTCTCTTTGGGAAAGCCTGGGGCCTCTTTCCCCCCCATGGGGGAGACACTCTCCCAGGAGGGGGAGGACGGGTTGGGCTCAAGGGGGGCAGGGAGGTTTTCATGAGAACCTGCCCCAAGTCAGACAAGTGCCCTCTTAATAGGCAGGCACCCAAGGAAAAACGGCATCCGAGGATTAAGGAATGGAATGGAAAGGAATAGGAATAGGAATAGGAATAGAACAGAACAGAACAGAATAGAATAGAATAGAACAGAATAGAATAGAATAGAATAGAATAGAATAGAATAGAATAGAATAGATATTGGAATATAGAATAGAAATAAGGAAATAGAATAGAATAGAATAGAATTAGAATTAGAATAGAGCTGGAAGGGACCTTGGAGGTTTTCTAGTCCAGCCCCCTGCTGAAGCAGGAGACCCTCTGCCATAGAATAGAATAGAATAGAATAGAATAGAATAGAATAGAATGGAAAGGAATGGAAGGGAAGGGACGGGAAGGGACGAGAAGAGAGGAGAAGAGAGGAGAAGAGAAGAGAGAAGAGAAGAGAAGAGAAGAGAAGAGAAGAGAAAAGAAGAGAAGAGAGAAGAGAAGAGAAGAGAAGAGAAGAGAAGAGAAGAGAAGAGAGAAGAGAAGAGAAGAGAAAAGAAGAGAGAAGAGAAGAGAAGAGAAAAGAAGAGAAGAGAGAAGAGAAGAGAAGAGAAAAGAAGAGAGAAGAGAAGAGAAGAGAAAAGAAGAGAAGAGAGAAGAGAAGAGGAGAAGAGAAAGAAGAGAGAAGAGAAGAGAAGAGAAGAGAAAGAAGAGAAGAGAAAGAAGAGAAGAGAAGAGAGAAGAGAAGAGAAGAGAAAGAAGAGAAAAGAAGAGAGAAGAGAAGAGAAGAGGGCTGGACCCTGCCCAAGGTAGAAGTCCTCATTCCATCCTGGACAAAGGGCTGTCCAATCTCTTCTTGAAAGCCTCCAGGGATGGAGCACCCACAGCCTCTGGAGGCAGGGCGTTCCACTGGTTAATTGTTCTTGCTCTTAGGAAATTTCTCCTTCGTTCCAGGTTTCTTCTCCCCTTGATGAGTTTCCATCCGTTGCTTCTTGTCCTGCCTTCAGTTGCCTTGGAGAATCGGTGGGCACCCCCCCTTCTTTGGGGCAGCCCCACAAAGATTGGAACACTGCCTGTCCTGCCACCCCCTAAGGAAGGTCAGAGTCTTCCCTAACTGGCTTCTGTTATGG